AAGTGGATATCTGTCTTCATGAAGGGGCTGGTTTTTTACCGCTAAAAAAAGTTTAAATGGCGAAACATCACTTATATCTGGATAACCCCTCATTCTCTGTTGCTTGGGAAATGCTTGTTTGGATGAATTGAGGATCCTGTGATTTTTCCACTCTCCCTTTCCCTCCCTTATCATCTGGTTTAAAGTTACTTTTTGACTTCAGTGTTTTGGTGTGAATTTGGTGTGAAGTAGTGTTGGAACAAGTTTTCCTCTAAGAAGCAAAAACAGTTGTAGTTTTTGCTGCCCCGTCACTTCCATTACGGCTGTTGCTCTGAGTCTTGCAGAGAAGGCATCAGAGGAATTTAAAATTGTCTGTTCTTTTGTTAAATCTCAGTTACCATGGGCTTTTTGTTTGTTTGGCCCAAGATTATAAGGAAGATTCATAATTTGAAGGAATTGCTGCCAACTTTTTCTTTGGGTTATTCTTTCTTTAGTAGAGAGAGAGAGATGATCTAGGTATATTGCCCGATCTTGCTTTTCTTCCAGATGGTCAGATGTATTATGGTCTGTTGGGAGGGAAAGGTCTTTTCATGAAATCATTTTATAATTATTTCTCTGTTGGTTTTCATGGCTAACAGAAAACAAACGATAAAAAATTCCTAGCTTGATGACTGTAATGTTTTTATAAATGCCTGTATCTATGTGTGTTGGAAAAGGACTTGTCTCCATGCTTGATTCTTCTCTTTAAAGATTCAGATTAATCCTAAAAGTGTTTACTCAGATGTGATGAATTACAAGTAGATGAAATTACATTGTTGTCAGATTGACTCATCGTCCTGCTTCGCTCCTCCAGTTGAGAACATTGACTTCCAGCTCTGGAGAGTTTCCTCACTTGAAGACCCGGGTTTTACACAGATGACATATCTCCCTTGTTAGAGATCTAGAGGGTTTTGATAGCTGGGTTTTGAGAAGATAATCAAGGATTAGAGGGAAAAAAAGACCAGCGGGTAGGACAGCTGGGAGGGAAGGAAGAGCAATACCTGTCTCTCTGACTGACTTATGACAAGCTTCTTGCCAAAAAAGATGTGCAAGGTCATTAAGCGAGATGAGGGGAGTGCTTTAGCATATATCGGTTGGCAAGCAGTTTGAAGTGCCCTGATGCCAGGTAAGGCATTGCTCCAGCAACTGGAGCATGTGGCAGTAAGAGATTATCTTGGTGTGGCTGTATCTCTTATGCAGTCGCTGCACTTTAGTCTCCAGGTCTTCATGCCTTTTATAATAAATAGTGAGAGTGTTGCTTGGTGGGTAGAACATGCTGCACCCTGGTCTCCCTTCACTCTGTATAAAAGGGGAAAAATAATAATTGCTTCTCTGTAAAGCTTTTTCTAGTTCTGTGGTTGATAAATAATAGGACTATGATTATTAGAAGTAGGTTTTATTTTGTAGTCTTAAACACTTTAATCTTAGGAAGAGGAGACTGTAGATGTGAGGGAGTTTGGACTGAAGGCCTCTAGGAGGACAATATCTGTTTCTGAATATTTCTGTGTAATTCTATGAGACTTTTCACGGCAAACTGAAGAGGAAAATTGTTCCTTGCTGTGCTCAGCGTTTTGCTAAATACTGTTCATTCCCAATAGCTAAAATAGCCTGAATACAATGAGGGCTTCTTACTAACCTATAACTATGTTAATGCCTTTCTTGCCACAAGGGTAGTTTCTCTCAGGAAAAAGCCAAAAAATTGCACACTGCAGAATGCACACCATGGACATTGCCAACAAACTGCTAATACAACTTCCCTTGGAAAATGAAGCAGTATTTCCAAGGCTGCCTTGCTTTGGGGAAAACTTTCAGTGGAAGCTGGTTGCTGTGAAAGGAAAATCTGGTCTGATGGAAGTCTTGGGTTGGGTTTGGGTTCTTTGTTGTACCTTCAGGTGCACAGGGTCTGCAAACTACTTGTGCCAAAAGTCTGTTTTCTAGTAAACGCTCTGTTACTTCAAGCTTTATGAAACTCTGAAAATAGTTTAAATAGGCTGCGGGCATGGGGAGAGGATGGTCCTTCTCAGAGACTTTGGCATTTCCAGTTCTGATAACCTGAGGGTCAGTTATGTTTGGATACCATTTGGTGGCTAGCCTGCCTTCAGAGTAACAGTTTGCTGCCATTTAGCAGTTACCAGTTTAGATAAGATAGGAGAGATTTGTGTCTTTGAATCCTGAAGAAATGAAAATAAGACTCTGAATCTGGTCCTAAAGCTGAAGATCTTGTCTTAAATTCCTGGTGAGAACCTAAAGTAAGGTTGACTTGACAGTTGCATGGGATTGCAGACTGCGGTTGGGGGAGGAAGGGGGAAGAGGGGTGTCTTATCTGCTCTTCGCAAACAAGAGCTTGTTATTATCTGTCCAGGTGACTTTAACAGAGATTAAGGAAAACAACATGTATGTTTCTGTGAGCAGAAACAAGCACATTCCCTTGGTAAGAAGTGTTCAGGAAATTTGTCGTGGGGCCCTGTGTAATGCCACGGTTCTGCTGCTGTGGAATCAGTCTCGTAAATCCATAGCCCAAGCTCAGGAGAGACCTTCCCGATCGTGGTGTTTTACTGCTTGCACAGAACGGGCCAAAGAATTTCCTACACAAACTTTAAGTGTATTAAGGCACAGAGGTTGTTCTCCTGATTTACATTTCTGAATTCAAGCTTTCCCCTTGCAACTTAATCTAACTCAAATTAATACAAATGCAGCTTTATAAAATGATTTCATTGCTGGGGAGAAAGATACTTGGATACGCTTACGACGCCTGGAATAGTGATAGGAGGAGGCTTGTGGGCTAGCACAGGCATCTTAACCACTGCTTTCTAGCCCTGTTAAATGCCTACAACTGATCTAAAGTAACAGTTATATTGCATTTTATAGCTCTGAAAAATATATGCTGTTTTCCCCATGTTGTTATTTGTTAAAAATTGTTAAGCTAGAAATTTTACTGCATGGTGGGGAGAAGTGAGCTGTCACTCATTCAGCTCCTCACACTGTCAGCTTTGGAACTTGGAGAGGACAGACCTTGGCACAAGCACTTGTTTTGCAACAGAAACATCCCTTATACTTACGCTTTGCCTCCTGGACACGTTTTGGTATGTTGCGAGAAAAGCCTGCCCTCGGCTCTCCAAGGTGCTGTAGCTTTTTTCCTCTGATGATTTCTGATGCCAATAGAGAGATTGCTGGCAGATTGAAAATGTGTGGGCAATGTCAAATGAACTGTTACTTCAAAATGCACACAGAAGACCCTGCTGATTTGCTTGTATTAGTTTACATTTATTCTTGATTTCTAAAAATTATGGCTTTATTTTGGTTTGTTTTTTTTTTTTAAATTGGAACAGAGCAGCCACAGAATCAACAGATTGCTGCCCTTTCAAGCAACAACAGTCAAGGCTAAGCTCATGTCATGAAAGACTGTCTGGGTTTTATCATCTCTAAAGACAGCCAGGAGTTGTCTAAAGACAGGAAAAAAAGTTGCACTTGTAGCCATGTTCCAGTTCCACAAAGATCTCTGCAAACTGTATTTAGCTTGTGGGGGAATAACAACCGTATTTATTTCTTGAATAGCACCAAGAATGATAGTACCGCATGTTTCAGTGCCTAAAAAATGAGCTGTTTTCTCTGTATTTTCTCCTGTAACTTCCTCGGCGGCAGGGCGTATGGTGGCCGTGGCACAGCAAGGGCTTGCGAGGGCTTCATGGTTGTTGATCAGAATCTGACAAGGCCATGCGGAGGCGGAGTAGCGGAGTGAGCTCAGCGTGAAATGGGGCTGGCCGGGTGGGAAGAAAGCTGTTCTCTTACATGTAAAAGAGTTAATTATGGTTTGGGGAGGGGAAGGAGTTTCCTGAAGCTGAGCACTAGTCAAATTAGAAGCACTGTGCAGATACACAACATTTCTTTGGCTGATCGTCTCTCTCTTTTCACTTCATGCTGAAGATGTAGTGGAAAAGAGAAGATTTTGCTTTACATCTTTTGTGTGCAGTTCAGTACACAACTTTTTTGTTTGTGGGTTCCCCCCCGTCATTTCTCCCACATCTCCATTCTCCAAACTGCCAACTACGTATACTGCTTGTATTCGTCTGAAGTGGGAAGATTTTGGAGCACAGAAGCTTTGCCAAAGTTTTTTTTGTGGTTTTTATCCAAGCTAACTTCTTCTATTTCTGTGGTTTACTTGGGGCTACATATTCATCTATATGGAGATGATGATCAGAGTGGAAAATATGGGCATTTCGTATTTGGCCTAGCAATTACTTCTCATTCTGTACAAAACAAAACAAACATAAAAGTCCTGCTTACTCTCAAAATATCTGGTTGCCAGACCTCTTTTGCAGAAGCTCCCTATTGTATCCTTTTTGTAATGGACTGATAACGAGTGGGTTTATTCCCTTGCACAACACTTCTCAAAAAAACCTTTGTGTTTGTCTGTTCATCTTTTCTTCCATTGTTCATCTTTTGTTCCTTTCTAGTGAAATAGTTTTCTTTTCTCTTTTTCCAGTTTCTACTATTTTATACAGGCTGAATGGCTAACTATATTTAAAGGTACTTGAAAAGTGCCTCTGGCAGAAGAGTTTAGGCACCTCTGTTCTTGCATCTCTGCTAATTGAAATGGAAAGAGAGACCATGCTTGTATTTCTGGCTGGCTCTGTTAGGTCATTAAGGGGCAAGATGGGAGAGGAGGCTGCTGTTGAAGAACTCTGGAAGATTTGCCCAAATTTGCTGTTAATGGGATAGGATATTTTCACCCCTCCCTTCTCTGTCTTGCTCTTTTCTTTTCTCTTCGCTTTGCAGGACTGCTTGAATTCTTTCATCGTGTTGCCATGCGTGTCCGTGTCTTAACCTGACGCTGTGGGGAACTGCTAGTCCAAGGCTGACTCTTTGGTTTTGCTGCAGGCTGAGTCCTTGGGTTTTACGACTCGTTGACATCACCGAGATTGACGCTTCGACCTTCAAGAGAAGAGACTTTCTGACGACCCTGCTCCATTCCACCTGACCCTATGACTGGAGGGTTCACCCTAGCTCCATCCTTTGCTCTGCAGTTCCACAAGATGGGTTCGTTCAGAAGGCCCCGACCTCGCTTCATGAGCTCCCCGGTCCTCAGTGATCTGCCGCGGTTCCAGGCAGCCCGGCAGGCTCTGCAGCTCAGCTCCAACTCTGCCTGGAACAGGTGAGCAGGACCCACCCGGGCTGAGCCCTCAACCTGCAGCAGCCCTGCGATAAGGGCTGTGCGTGTCTCATCTTTGTGCTTCAGACCATTTATGGCTAAGCTCATCTGTTTATAAGCATGCATGGATTTTTGGCATGCCCAAGCTTTGCCGGCATTGAAAGCCTCTGTGGAGGTGAAAAAATTAGCCTTAGTAGTGTTCAGCCTTGTTTTTGGCTAACGTTGTTCAGAGGTACTGTCTTGAAGTTATCAGTTGCATCTTTTAAGTATCATTTAGGAAAACACATTACTAGTACCGTAATAAAGGCCAGTTTCTTAATGCACAACAGGCGTTTATTCTCATATTGTGAAGCTTTTACCACAGTCAAATTCCTCTGACAACTGCTAAGCTTGTGGCTTCTACCAGCATTTCCTATTGACAGCCAAATCCTGCCTGCAGTGTGTGTCGTGCAGCAATGGCAACTGGAAAAACAATGTGTAGGGTGAAGAGTGAGATATCTTGATCTGATCTAATGGTCTGCTGCTACCAAAAGTGGGCGTTCCCACCTTCCCTTCTGCCAACTTGCACCATCTCTGCGCTCCGCATACCCCTCTCTCTTGCTAACCTAGCTCAGCTTACTAATATCACACAAAAGTACCCCGGCAAAAACATCGCAGTTTTGTGCCAGGATAGTGAGGTCCGTGAAGCATGCAAATGCCGAAACTGGCCCACAGAAGGGAATGCCCGTTAAGGGAATGACACCTCCTCTTGTTACCCATGGCAAGCCTTTAGACCTGCTAAACCATCTTGTATGCTGTCATGTTATGACTTCCTCTGTGCTGGTGAGAAAACTATGAGTTAGCATATCCTCCAACAGCATCTTACAAGCATTAACAGGGCTTAAAGTTGGGTCTGACTGAGGTGATGCTGGATGCAGAACGTCTTCCAGCACAGCCAGGGGTCTTCCAGATGCTGCAGATTGGGTGGTTCCTGCTAGCATCACTGGATAATGCAATGTGATGTGTTTGGCAGATATTGCCAAAAATCTATTTCTCCTCATAGCTACTAGCCTGCAGCACACAGCAGAGATCCCCTGAACAGTCGTGTTAAAGATATATCTGGTGTGAACATGTTCTTTGTGAACAGTGTCCCTGTATCAACTTTCCCTCGCTTACTCTACACACAACTTGAGGTTGGTTCTGCTCTGTCTCCCATGAGAGATGTAGGTAAACAAGAGTGATGATTTCCAGGGGAGAAAGAGTGGAAGTATTTAAGTGCAATTAACCTTTCCACCCTATTATAACCACTCAGCTTTTGGCGGCTAGCTCACATTGCGCTCTGTGTTAAATCATACTGGTGGCTGTTACTTATGGATGTTGTACTGTCTCTTTTTATTTTTTTGGCAGTGTTCAAACAGCAGTGATAAATGTGTTCAAAGGGGGAGGCTTGCAGAACAATGAACTTTACACCCTCAATGAAAATATCAGGTAGGTTGCTGAAATGCATGAAGAGCGATTTTTGTTGCTGCTTGTTTGGTGTTTGCTTGGTTTCGTTCCCCTACAGAACTGCAGTTAGAGGTTATAGGGGGGAGGAGCAGGGATCGAAGCAAACTTAAGCACAGCTTTAGGGTTTCAGGCTTACTTCTTTTTTTGCTGTTGGGTGGAGTGAATGGCATGGGACACTTGGAAAATCTTTCTTTGACTTGTGTAGCTTTGACAAGGACAGGATGTGTATTGACTTGGATTATAAGGATTTTGTCCCCTCCTAGGGAGTTTGCCTCTTCTGGCTGTTTTTTACACATTTTTATCAGGGCATTTGTGGTGGTAGTAACATCTCTTTTTCTAAACCCAAGCTTCTCAGAACTGTGGAGTGTTTAAAATGAAAGCAAAACACAGCATTTCATTTAAAAGCTTAATCTTCACATGATAATTGCAGAGCAAGACCTGAAAATACGAACCCTAAAGATAAAAAAACTAAAAGCCTAACATTTTCTAACACTGATGCTGGTGACGATTAAAAGCATAATTTTTTTTAAAGCAGGTTTCATGATTATCTGTGGTTTCATTCTGATTATTTGGAAAGTTTGGTTAGCAATAGATAGGACTGTAGCATAGATAAAGAACAATTTATTCTTGCCTTGGTTCCAAGTGCTGTGAAGAGGAGTATTGTCAGAGCTCAGGGGTGTAGTTCCTCCTCCCTCTCTCTTTCCCACTACATCATATTAATTCATCATGAATGCTGTCGTATAGGTCTCTGCTTCTCCTTTTATATGCCCCCCCATCCCTATTTCCTGAGCGCCAAGATTCACATGGCAATTTTGGCTAAGCACGTACTAAGCAGCAGTCTAAGCTACTCTTTTCCCTACTTTCAGAATAAATGCAGCTTGCAGGGCACGAGACTCTGTCCTACTTGGTCTTGTCCCAAAGATGAAAGTTTTATGTAATTCCTTTTGAGAGCTGGGTGAGGGCAGTGTCTCATGCTATAATGGTATTTTAGTGTGCTCAGCTCAGAAGTCCTCAAGTACTTGGAGCAGTCTTAATTCTTCATGGGATGAGTATTTCTGTACGTGAAAAGAAAAACAAATGTCGTAAGACTTTGGAAACACCCTAACCCACAGCCTGTTGGCAGACCTGGGGAATGGCTTTGGGTTTTGTGACTCGTCTGCCAGGCTGTTGCCCGCCGCGCTGGTTGCAGCCTCCTTTCCCTCCCCGGTGCACGGTGCCCGCGGGTGCTCCTTCCCACCCTTGCGGGGAGGCAGCACGCCGGGCAGAACAGCCGTGTTGCATGGGCTTGGCCCCAGTGGCTGGACCATGCTCTCTTCATGTTGGTTACTGAAGTGGATCTAGACTGTCGAGAGCCGGGCGAAGAAGAGGAAATTCTGTGCTGATGGTGGGAGGGGAAATGCCCTCTGCCAGGGACAGGCACCCCCAGGCAGCACCTGGAAACACTCACCTTGAAATACATGATTAATATTCCTGCAGGTGCCCTGAGCATTGGTCACATCTCCAAATGTCATTCTCTAAATAGGCCACCTTAACATTCAAGTAGCTCATTAATGTCCATCTAAGGAGCAAAAGACATGCATCTGCATGGATGTTTGTATGCACACCTGCAGCCTCGCACCTGCAACTCTTGACATAGCTCCCAACACCCGGTTAGCTCTGTGCGCGCGAGGTGAATGTCTAGCTTGACACTGGGCAAAAAGCTGTCAGACGGCCAACTCTTCTGTGCCATTAGGTCGAGCTGGTGCGTTTCCCTTGTTTGTAGTTCTCCATTCAGCTCCTTGGTGGGAGTTAGCAAATGCAGTGCTTTAAAAGACTCACAGATTCTGCACTGAGCTTAGTTATTTGACAGCGGGAAACACGGAGAGTTCTAAAATAGGACAGTAATGACAAGACCAGGAGATGAGCAGGTGGTAACATTTTGCTCTGGATTGCTGCCACCAAGTTTTTATCTTGCTGTGATTTGATATCATCTCACTGGATACTTTTTTTTACTGCTCTGAAAGTCAGTTGTCACAGCAAGAGGAAATGTAAGAAATGCCTTTGGGAGATGGGATTTCAGGAAGCAGGAGGTGACCTGGCCGTGATTAGGTGGGGACCCCCCTCTTGGGTTCTCTCTAGGGTGCAAGCCTCTGGTTGCTAGTCTACCTGCATGAGGCTAAGCCCTGCCGTGGGCTTGTCCATCAGCTGGTGGAGAGCCCCATGGATTCTGCTGAAGCCGGTGGAAGAGCTTCTGGCAAACGGGCCCCCAAAGACTTACCTGGTTTATCCATCTCATAGAAATAGAAATGTGCTTTGAGATGGGCGGGGTGAATATAACTGCTCTGAGAGAGAAAGAGTAAGGGCATGTTGGCATGTGAATAAACGTAGAAGCGTTACAAAATGCGTAAGGAGGAAGGTTGCTGTCAAAATCGACTTTCAGCAAAGATTAGGAAAAAGTGGTGTAGTTTGTTATAAGAACCCAGCCTGAGAACTGGGTGGTCCCTGATTCAAATGCCATTTTCGAGCGCTCTTGATTATACTCCACGTTGGTGAAAAGCAAAACTCTTAAAATAGCAAAAAAATGCAGTGTTTTGCAGTGGAAAGTGTTGGGCGCCTTTTAAATTTTAGGCAGAATTTACTGCTACAGAATTTATGCTCACAGTCACTGAAAGCTGAAAGTGCAAATGCTCTGAACTTTGAGTTGTTTTTTTTAATGCTTCTTCTGATGTAAAATAATCCTGATTTTTATATCAGAGTTTTGAAATATAAATATGTATTAGAAAATTTAAAACTTTTATCACAGCCTGATTTAAAATCCAAGAGTTTTTATCAAAAATACTTGTTTAGAGTGGCATCTGCCTACATGTATTTAAAATGCCTCTTGTTAAATTCCTAGAATTTCTTTCTTGAAAAATATGCCTTTTTTTTTTTTTTTTTTTTTAAATGCTGTGGTCATGGGGAAGCTGCAGCTTCTGCTTGTGTGTTTACTTCATTGCTCCTCTCCTTATCCTCCCACCTTCTACTTCCAAGAGAAAAGGAAGTACAGCATTAGGAAGATACGCTATTTTCAGTGAAATGAAAGGCGTCTTTGTTTAAACAAAAAGCAGAAAAAATTATTACTTTCAAACTAAATAACTTTAAATTGTCTCTCCAACTTTCTGTGCATTCAGGGGGGTAAATGTTTTTTTTGCTTGTTTTAGGTGTATGGCTTATAAATAGAAGACTTAAGGGAAACTGTTTCGTTCCTTCATAATTTGAGAATAGCCTTTGTGGGCATTTGTAGAATATATACCGAAATGTAAAACAAATCTAATTGTGGCCAAAACGACACATTCACTTATACTCACCTATCTTTGGTATGACTGGTACTAAACATACCTGTAAGAAATGACCCGCAATGGCTGTTACTTCATGACTGCATTCCTTCTGTCTACAGACGGCTGCTGAAGAGTGAACTTGGATCCTTCATCACAGATTACTTTCAGGTATTACATGATTTGCTTGCTTTCTTTTGAGGTTTGCTCTCTTCAGCTTTTTAGCCTATAAAGAGAATTAGGACCCCTTTTTACATGTAGCTTACAAGTTTCATTTTTGTTTTGCTACAGAAGATGATGGAGGTACTGGACTTTTTTAATGTGGGCCATATAGGTTTGGGAGTAATCATATTTATGGGGGTATGGGCTAAATTAAAGATAATCTTCCTTTGCGCTTAAGAAAGGCTTCTAGTAGCCTACCAAGGTCAAGAAGGAATTCACTTGAACTTTTTAAAGAAGATGGGATACCTTTTCATAGTTTTTTTCACCGTATTTCTCTAGTATAGAGAATTCAGGAGTAGGTTTTCTGCAACAGGGGCCAGCAAAAGGGAGGAGAAAAGATAACGGCTGTCTGTTTTGAGGGGGCAGAGAAGGAAGTCCCTATGAAATCAACCTGGGTACTGTTTGCCTTTTAGTTCCATAAATATAAGTGCAACCTGTGAAAAAGCGAAAGATGAAGGATGAGGGAAGACCTGATCAATCACAAATGTGAATAAGTGTACTGCCTTTTACTGATACTGTCCAGATAGACAGAGGTTCAAGTGTAACCACATGAAAGTGTGTTGGATGATTTTGAGAGAGCACTGATGGCTTTCAGTGTTGTAAGTTGTTCAGTGTAGTGTTGATTAAAACAAACAGGAGGTGGCTACTGAAAACAAGAGGGTTTCTTCCCTTTGAGTAAAAGAGAGAGAGAGAGAAAATTTCAGTACTTTCTGAAGCGGCTGACGCTGCTGTGTGCTGTGCTAACAGCTTAGAAAGAGGAAAAAGACTAGTGTTGTTTCCTATCAGTATTAGATTACATGACTTAAAAAAATCCCCCAGGCTGTGCTATCAAGTGAGAAGCAAACTCCTGCCCCAGGGGTAGTTATGTTTCACTTCTTTAGACCCTACCTGCACAAGTTGTTTACTGGAAAGAGGTGGCTGCTGGCGCCGAATGGCGGGATGTTTCCTAGTCTGTGAGTGGGGTATGGCGGCAGCCCGGCGGAAAGGCTGTGAGCCTGTAGTACAAAGTGCCTGGCTTAAATGGAAATCTGCTATTGCTCCTGCTAATTTAAAAACAGGCAAATGAAAGTTTGCAACTAGATATATGTGGTGAATTGAAATTTGAAAGGTCTTGAACAGGTGCCCAGTACTACAGTGTTAGGCAAGGTGTGCAAGGCTGGAATAAGCAGACAGTGTCCAGAGGCAACTTCATACACCCGTAAGCCTGAACAGAGCACAGAGCTGAGCACGGTCCCGAGGGATGTGAGGTGCTGACGTATGACTGTTATCTGGTTTTGAAAATTCAGAGTGTACTGAAAGAGGCCTGAGTGGGTTCCAGCGCTGAGTAAGACACAGCTGCATCGTGTCGCTGCGCAAGAGGAGCCGACGGCTGCTGGGGACCGGTTGGCTCCCAGTGCTGGGGTTTGGATGTGTTGTTCTCTTCCTCCAGACTGTAAACCTCAAGCCTGTCACAGTCACGCTGGGGCTAGTGGCATTAGCTGAGACACCTTAGATCTCTTAGTAGTAGAGCTGATGACTGAAGAGACTGCTTAGACTACAGCCTGCTCACTGCTGGAGGCTAGATATCTGTATTCCATCACTCGTAGCAAGCTGAGGGCATCTGATCTTGTCCTGGGAGAAGGATCTGGTCACCAGCACTGTTTTCTGCAAAAGCAGGAGCAAAAACTGTGCTCTTTCACCCTAATGGCAGGGCTGTACTACTTCAGCCACAGGCCACAATCGCAATGTAGGTACTCAGCGCTGCACTACTGCTGAGAGAGTGGTGGCCTTTGCCTCGGAGAACGTGCAGTGCGACAGCTTGGCTGCACTCACCTCTGAATTTGTTTTTCTGTCAGTCTGTCTGTTCACACTTGTGCAAATACCTCAGCTTATATGTACTAGTTCACCTGCAGCTGCTGTTCTCCCACTGAAGCCACTGGGACTCAAATTTAATTTCTGGGAATTTTTTTGCTCAATGTTAAAAGGAGGAACTTGGCATCCGTCAGACTTAGCCTGAAGTAAAACTCTTGGTGCTGGCAAGCCATGAGACAAACTGTGAGATAAAGGCTATTGTAGGAAATGAGCTTTTTTGCCTGCTGTGAGCTATGTTGCAGACTTATTTCTGATTCTAGACTGACAGCATGTGGCAGTGATAAAAGTTACCACTCCCTCCTGAATGTCTTTACTCAAAAATCCTTGGGCTGTGGAGTGGGGAAAGACTATTCATGTGCCAAAGAAGGGCTGACAACATTATTTCATTTGTCTGTGGGTTCAGTTTCACTGCTGATGCCAGCTGATTTACAGCAATAGTGCTGCCACCAAAATGAGCAGAGTTGAATCAGGCTGCTGATTTGGCTGAAAAATAACCTTGAAAGAAAAAATGAAGTTTCCAACTACTTCCTTTGACTTGTGCTCATCACCTCTAACATGGGGGAGGTGATGGGAGCGGGTCATCAGGATGGGGAGTGATGTGGAAGTGCATCCTCCATCAGTTAAAGCCCACTGAAAAGCTGTCCCGAGAACCAAGTTTGTTATTCTCTTAGATTGAAATGAAGGATCAGCTCTCATGTGTAACCAGGCAGTTTTAAATATCCTAGCAGCAATTAGAGCAACTAACTGGATCATGTAATATTTAGATGTGATAAATTGACTTAAATGTTTTCCATTTCTTATGCCACAGCACTTGTAACAGGAGCCACTAAGATAATTTCTAAAATCACATTTTCCATTGTTTTAAGAGTTGTGGCTCTTACATTATGTATATTTTATACACACACACACACGCACGCACAGTTTTTCTAACCACTGAATGTTTAAGACTAAAATGGCGCAGAGCTTTTATAGTGAGACAAATCTACCTTTGTGATCAACTTGACTTGATTACTCACAAGTCTTTTTCACCAACACTCATGCAAATTACCAGTTCTTAGCTCCTGAAGTTGCTAAAGGAATGTTTGGGAAACGGATGGGGTTTAGGCAGTCTTTCTCTGCTACCAAACCATCATCATACCAGAGTTACTGAGTCTGTTTTGCATTTGAAAGAGAAATGTAGTTCCTGTAAGGGTTTTGGTGGGAACTTAGATGTTTCATTCTGAAGGAGATTTGTGTTTATACATCTGCTCTTTTAGCAATCCTATTATATATACAAGCCATCTCCTTGGATCGGAGTCTAAGTGTAAATGCGAGATAGTTGGGATTCGTAATATTTGCTGCAGATCTGCCTTAAAGCAATGCTTCATGCTCCAGGTTTTCCAGTACCGACTTTGCCCATGAAGTAATCCGATAGTTTCTGGCTGCTGAAAAGGGGCACTTTGTACCCACCGCTCTGCTCAGTAACCCAGCAGGGCACCATCTGCTCTCACTGCTGGGTTAGTTCTCTGGTGGTCAGCTGAACTGCAACAGGGAGGAATCCTATGACCATGGAAGGGAAGAGGCTGGGATTTGGAGGAACAGGGTGTATTGGTGATTGGGACTTCTCTGGGCCAGCTATAAGATTTTTCAGATAAGTTCTCTTCATTTTCATGCTTTCTGACCCTCATGGTTCTGGAGAAAATTTTTGAAATATAAAACTAGTGAGTATTGATAAATTGATGCATTATCTTCCTGATTCTGCAAACAGCCTGAAAAAAAACCTTTGGAAAGGATGAACTGTTTCTTTTCACGCTCTGGGGGCTTGTTAATCTTGAAACTCACGGGGGAAAATGGAAATGCTAGCTATTTCACAGCTAACCACTTTAGCAGAACTGCCCGGTTTATGCATATTAACTCCAAACCGTCTCCTCCCGAGGCAGAGAGACCCGATCCCTTCCCAGGCACTGTAACCTCTCCCAGAATTCACGGGCTGCAAATGCAGAAAGTCAAATGCCCAGAGTTGATGCCTCTCCAGCCTGACGTCCACTGCCTGCGCTGGCAGAGCTGGTAGGTGAGGGATGGTGAGTGGACTGTATTTCCTCATTTAATCCAATGAGAGCTTTGATGTCTTAAAACCAGAAGCGAAGCGGTTACACAATTTCCAGCCTGCTGCAGTGGAGAGTCATGGGAGGCGACAAATCCTGACTCAGAATTAGGCCTGGCTTTCTGTTTGTGTGCAAAACCATAGAAACCACAACGTGTGAGCACCCATGTTGCTGGGGTGTCGAGCAAAGTCAAAATAGCAAGATGATAATGGATAGCTGCGAAAGTAAGCAGCAGCAGTGACGAGGCAAGCCCAGATCCAAGCCAAATTTGATTTTGTCCTCTTCCTTTAGAGCGGTCAGAAGTGGGACTGGTGCACCTTCCTGTGGTCAGTCCCTCTCACTGTAGGTTAGCCAGCTGTGCAAGGCGGCTGCAGTGCTAGGGGGAAACATGCACTCCTCCCTCTACTGTGTCACGTAAAGCTTTTGCTTAAGTCCCTGCTGAATGTCTTTCTGGGACTCCAGCCTACCCAACATCTCTTGTGATGCTTGCTCTCATTTGAAATGCTGCTTTGTAAAGCCATGCTAACAGCTGAAAATGCCACGTGTCCCTCTCTCCTGCTTAGTCAAAGAGAAAAACCTGGTGCATGCGACATTTCTTTCCTTGGTTCCAGGTTTCTACTTCTACCGGTTTCATAGCAAGGCAAGGAAATAGTTGTGTGGGTTATTGGAGCGATGGTTATCGCTGGATAAAGGCAGCACTAGTTCTTCTCTGGCCAAGTCCTGTCTCATGCCTGCTGCCAGGGGCTGCAGCAACTCTGCCACTGCACAAGGGAAGAGAATTCACACTTTGTGTGATTTGCAGAGCTCAGCCGTATGTCTACAATACTCTTTTGGGTCAAGCTGGTCTTTATCATTGTATTTCTCTCCTTGCTGGCAGGGAACCCCTGTTCATGCAGGTCTGCTAATTATTTCTGCTTCATCTGGCACTTTCTAGGACTGAGCTTTCATGGAGCAGCTCCAGAGACTCCATAGCAACTACCCAGCTTTGTTATCATGGACGGGGTCACCCAGCAG